GGCACTATTCCTCCCACTGACACCAATGATGGGACACTATTCCTCCCACTGACACCAATGATGGGGCACTATTCCTCCTCACTGACACCAACGATGGGGCACTATTCCTCCCACTGATACCAATGATGGGGCACTATTCCTCCTCACTGACACCAATGATGGAGCACTATTCCTCCCACTGATACCAATGATGGGGCACTATTTCCCCCACTGACACCAATGATGGGGCACTATTCCTCCCACTGATACCAATGATGGGGCACTATTCCTCCCACTGACACCAATGATGGGGCACTATTCCTCCTCACTGACACCAACGATCGGGCACTATTCCTCCCACTGATACCAATGATGGGGCACTATTCCTACCACTGATACCAATGATGGGGCACTATTCCTCCCACTGATACCAATGATGGGGCACTATTCCTCCCACTGATAACAATGATGGGGCACTATTCCTCCCACCGATAACAATGATGGGGCACTATTCCTTCCTCTGATACCAATGATGGGGCACTATTCCTCCCACTGACACCAATGATGGGGCACTATTTGCTCCCACTGATACCAATGATGGGGCACTATTCCTCCCACTGACACCAATGATGGGGCACTATTCCTCCTACTGACACCAATGATGGGGCACTATTCCTCCTACTGATACTAATGATGGGGCACTATTCCTCCTACTGATATCAATGATGGGGCACTATGATGGGGCACTATTCCTCCTACTGACACCAATGATGGGGCACTATTCCTCCCACTGATACCAATGATGGGGCACTATTCCTCTCACTGACTCCAATGATGGGACACTATTCCTCCCATAGACTCCAATGATGGGGCACTATTCCTTCCACTGATACCAATGATGGGGCACTATTCCTCCCACCGATAACAATGATGGGGCACTATTCCTCCTACTGACACCAATGATGGGGCACTATTCCTCCCACTGACTCCAATGATGGGACACTATTCCTCCCATAGACTCCAATGATGGGGCACTATTCCTCCCACTGATACCAATGATGGGACACTATTCCTCCCACCGATAACAATGATGGGGCACTATTCCTACCACTGACACCAATGATGGGGCACTATTCCTCCTACTGATACCAATGATGGGGCACTATTCCTCCCACTGACTCCAATGATGGGGCACTATTCCTACCACTGACACCAATGATGGGGCACTATTCCTACCACTGACACCAATGATGGGGCACTATTCCTACCACTGACACCAATGATGGGGCACTATTCCTCCCACTGATACCAATGATGGGGCACTATTCCTCCCACTGATACCAATGATGGGGCACTATTCCTCCCACTGACACCAATGATGGGGCACTATTCCTCCCACTGACACCAATGATGGGGCACTATTCCTTCCACTGATACCAATGATGGGGCACTATTCCTACCACTGACACCAATGATGGGGCACTATTCCTCCCATAGACTCCAATGATGGGGCACTATTCCTTCCACTGATACCAATGATGGGGCACTATTCCTACCACTGACACCAATGATGGGGCACTATTCCTACCACTGACAACAATGATGGGGCACTATTCCTCCCACTGATACCAATGATGGGGCACTATTCCTCCCACTGATACCAATGATGGGGCACTATTCCTCCCACTGACACCAATGATGGGGCACTATTCCTCCCACTGACACCAATGATGGGGCACTATTCCTTCCACTGACACCAATGATGGGGCACTATTCCTCCCACTGACACCAATGATGGGACACTATTCCTCCCACTGATACCAATGATGGGGCACTATTCCTCCCACTGACACCAATGATGGGGCACTATTCCTCCCACTGATACCAATGATGGGGCACTATTCCTCCCACTGACACCAATGATGGGGCACTATTCCTTCCACTGATACCAATGATGGGGCACTATTCCTCCAACTGACACCAATGATGGGGCACTATTCCTCCCACTGACACCAATGTTTTTTGCCATTTACATCAGGACCTTTTCTGCTCCTATTGGTCACAGTCCAACCACCTAAATTCTGAAGAACAGTAAACTGGCTCTTTGTTTATAAAGTTTGGAGACCCCTACTACAGAGCATGGAGGAACCTTCAGAGGGCCACCCACTAGGAAGTCTGGAGTCCAGAGTTGGGCTTTCGTTTTTTGTTTTTTTTTTATGCCTCTGTAAGTATCTAAATTGGACCTGATATCAGTCCCTGTATAGCAGTGCCCAGGGTGGGAGAGAAAGAAGCAGCACCAGGAGCCAATCAGTTCACGTGGACACAAGCGGCATGCTAATAGGAGGGAAGAGCAGAGTGACAGAGAGATGAGCTCATCACTATGCAGCTTCTCCGTTTACTGTCCAGTCACAGGCTGGGGGTGGGTCCATGACAGCCTGGGCTCGGAGGAAGTGAGCTGACTGACTGCAAAAAACTACGGGAGGGGGCGGAGACAAGACCAGTCCCCCTGCACAAGGAGAGAGAGCAGCAGTGAGCGGTCTTCATTACAGGAAGAAAAGTCTCACACTGGATGGCTGCACAGATTTGGAAGAAATACACAAATCTCACCGAGATTCCAGAATAAAATGCATGACGGATGTATGGAGACAATATTGGCTGATCTTGGAGTTCAGCTTTAAAGTATTACTAACCCAACAACAGTACAATCAGTCTCTAGAAACGTTGGGCTTCCTATCTTAGAGACGCAACAGGAATTGAGAGGAAGTCAGTACACAGACAGTGGTCACTGCAATGGCGTTCCCCATTGGAATATGTTTCGATACTTCCTGTTCTGGTGACAACTGTAAAATTTTGTGAAACTTTCACGCCCCCTTCCTACTTAATCAATAATGAACCAAAACCACATGAATAAATGAAGAAATAATAAATGGTGACGTGGCCAACACAAAGGGTGCTGCTGACATTTATATGTGGTCCCGCATTGTGAAATAAAGCAATGGACATTTTACCACCCCCCCCCTCCCCCCCCCAGGGGGTATGAATATGTTTTTGGGATTCCTCAATGTGAATCTTCTCCTATTTAGGTATGATACCTGGTGTATGTCCCTTTAAGAGACCGCCGGTCTCTACCTCCTCCACTGCCCCGGGGATGGTCTATCATAGTGCAGTATAATCAGTATCCAACATTTATTTAAAGAATTGCAATTACAAGATAAATAAAGAAAAAGGGACTTTAAGATCACACTGTGCATCCCCAAAGCAGCATTCCTGCAGCATCAGCGTCACCCGGCTCCTCCTCCCACGCGTTACATCATGTATCATGTCATTTCATCAGGGACCCTGACGAGTTATGTCTCATATCATGTGACTTCATCAGGGATCCTGACGCGTTATGTCTTATATCACGTGATTTCATCAGCAACACTGACGCATTACGTCTCGTATCATGTGACTTCATCAGGGACCCTGACGTGTTATGTCTTATATCACGTGACTTCATCGGGGAACCTGACGCGTTACATCTCGTTTCACGTGACTTCATCAGGGACCCTGACGCGTTATGTCTTATATCACGTGACTTCATCAGCAACACTGACGCATTACGTCTCGTATCACGTGACTTCATCAGGGACACTGACGTGTTATGTCTCATATCATGTGACTTCATCAGGGACACTGACACGTTACGTCTCGTATCACGTGACTTCATCAGGGACACTGACGCGTTACGTCTCGTATCACATGACTTCAACGGGGACCCTGACGCGTTACGTCTAGTATCACGTAACTTCATCAGGGACACTGACACATTACATCTCATATCACGTGACATCAACGGGGACCCTGACGCATTATGTCTAGTATCATGTAACTTCATCAGGGACACTGACGCGTTACGTCTCGTATCATATGACTTCAACGGGGACCCTGACGCGTTATGTCTAGTATCACATGACTTCATCAGGGACACTGACACGTTACGTCTCGTATCACTTGACTTCAATGGGGACCCTGACGCGTTATGTCTAGTATCACGTGACTTCATCAGGGACACTGACACGTTACGTCTCGTATCACATGACTTCAACGGGGACCCTGACGCGTTATGTCTAGTATCACGTAACTTCATCAGGGACACTGACACATTACATCTCATATCACGTGACATCAACGGGGACCCTGACGCATTATGTCTAGTATCACGTGACTTCATCAGGGACACTGACGCGTTACGTCTCGTATCACTTGACTTCAACGGGGACCCTGACGCGTTATGTCTAGTATCACATGACTTCATCAGGGACACTGACACGTTACGTCTCATATCACATGACTTCATCGTGGACCCTGACGCGTTACATCACATATCAGGGACATAAGTCACGTGATGTGACATAACGCGTGGGAGGAGCCGGATGATGCTGATGCTGTAGGAATGTTCGATCACAGCTAGAGACCAGTGGTCTCCTAAAGGGACACATCAGGTGTCATACCTAATGGGTAGAGGATCCATATTGAGGAATCCCAAGAACATATTTGTACCTTCTGGGGGTAAAATTCCCATCTAGACCTAATAATGAATGTGTTAGGGCCACTATTTGAGGTGAGCACATTGGAGGACCGGTGACGGGACGCACTTGCATGTTGGTGTGGATTGCTGTGACTACTGAGCACAGGGTGGAGAAAGATATGTAGGTATAGAATAACATTGTCTAGATATAGAATATAAAGTAGGAAGGTGGCATGGAAGTTTTACCAGTTTTCACAGAATTTTACAGTTGTCACCAGAACAGGAAGTATCGAAAAATAATATGGGGACACCTGTTGTGGTGACAACTGTCTGTGTAGGGACTTCTTTTCACTTCCTATTGTGTCTCCAACATAGGAAGCCCACAGTTTGACAGACAAAACAGGAGTTATAGGGAAATCTTCCAATGGGGACACCTGTTGCAGTGACAACTGTCTATGTAGGAATTTCCGGAAACTTCTGGTCATGTCTGCAGGACAGGAGGTGAAGGGAAATCTTCCCAGTGGAATTCTGACCAGGGGTGGACTGGCCATTTGGAAACTCGGGCACTGCCCGAGGGCCCGGGGTCAGTAGGGGGCCCCATGAGATGCCCCTGGTACCTTTTTCATAGGCTTTTTTTAGTTTGGGCAAGGACACAGGGGCCCCATAATCCCCTATTGCCCGGGGGCCCCATGAGTTGTCAGTCTGCCCCTGAGTCTGACAATACACTTTAGAACCAGACATGTAAGGATAGCAAGGCACGCCTTGACACTCTTGGAGGCGCTCTTACCCGTCTTGTCTGGGGAAAACTGTTCCGAAATGTGGAGGAGACCGAATATTCCAGCAACGCCTCCGCGGTGGGCGCACGTCTTGATTGGGCCCGGAAACTAAGGACGGTGCTCTCAACTTCCGCAAACACCCTGCGGTTCCGACTCACGACGGAGCGATGGCGCTCCGCGAGGTCCTGCGCAATGACATATGACAGAGGCACTCCAAATACTCCATGTGGAGAATCTGTAGAACAATGAAACATAAAATTAAAGGGTATGTACACCCCAACAATGAACTCTAATTCGCTCTCTTTCTATCTTGTATATATACAATAAATACAGCAGGGAAACAAATGATTTGGACCCGTGCAGATTTTGTATGATTGCCCACCTACAAAGAAATGAAGGGTCTATAATTGTTATCATAGGTGTCTTTCAACCCCTCGGCTACCGGGCACTGTCACCCCCTTCCTGCCTACCGGGCACTGTCACCCCCTTCTTGCCTACCGGGCACTGTTACCCCTTCCTGCCTACCAGGCACTGTCACCCCCTTCCTGCCTACAGGGCGCTGTCACCCCCTTCCTGTCTACCAGGCACTTCTACAGCCTTCCTGCCTACTGGGCACTTATACCCCCTTCCTGCCTACAGGGCACTTCTACCCCCTTCCTGCTTACCGGGCACTGTCACCCCCTTCCTGCCTACCGGGCACTATCACCCCCTTCCTGCCTACCGGGCACTGTTACCCCCCTTACTGCCTACAGGGCACTGTCACCCCCTTCCTACCTACCGGGCACTATCACCCCCTTCCTGCCTACTGGGCACTGTCACCCCCTTCCTGCCTACCGGGCACTGTCACCCCCTTCCTGCCTACCAGGCACTGTTACCCTCTTCCTGCCTACAGGGCACTTCTACCCCCTTCCTGCCTACCAGGCACTTCTACCCCCCTTCCTGCCTACTGGGCACTTATACCCCCTTCCTGCCTACAGGGCACTTCTACCCCCTTCCTGCCTACCGGGCACTGTCACCCCCTTCCTGCCTACCGGGCACTATCACCCCCTTCCTGCCTAACGGGCACTGTTACCCCCTTACTGCCTACAGGGCACTGTCACCCCCTTCCTACCTACCGGCACACTATCACCCCCTTCCTGCCTACCGGGCACTATCACCCCCTTCCTGCCTACGGGCACTGTCACCCCCTTCCTGCCTACCAGGCACTGTTACCCTCTTCCTGCCTACAGGGCACTTCTACCCCCTTCCTGCCTACCAGGCACTTCTACCCCCTTCCTGCCTACTGGGCACTTATACCCCCTTCCTGCCTACAGGGTACTGTCACCCCCTTCCTGCCTACCGGGCACTTATACCCCCTTCCTACCTACAGGCACTGTCACCCCCTTCCTGCCTACCGGCACTGTTACCCCTTCCTGCCTACCAGGCACTGTCACCCCCTTCCTGCCTACCAGGCACTGTCACCCCCTTCCTGCCTACCAGGCACTGTCACCCCCTTCCTGCCTACCGGGCACTGTCCCCCCCTTCCTGCCTACCTGGCACTGTCACCCCTTCCTGCCTACCGGGCACTTCTACCCCCTTCCTGCCTACCGGGCACTTCACCCCCTTCCTGCCTACTGGGCACTGTCACCCCCCTTCCTGCCTACCGGGCACTTCTACCCCCTTCCTGCCTACTGGGCACTTCTACCCCCTTCCTGCCTACCGGGCACTTCTACCCCCTTCCTGCCTACCGGGCACTTCTACCCCTTTCCCGTCCAGGCCAATTTCCAGCTTTCAGCTCTGTCGCACTTTGAATGACAGTTGCGCAGTCATGCAACACTGTGCCCATATGAATTTTGTATCATTTTTTTGAGACAGATAGAGCTTTCCTTTGGCGGTATTTAATCACCTTTTGCTAAACAATCATTTTTTTGCTAAACAACCAAAAACCACTTAAAAAATTTTGGAAAAAAAAAGAGTTTTTTCTTAGTTTTTGTTTTAAAATTTTGGAAATAAGTGATTTTTCTCCTTCACTGATGTGCGCTAATGGCACAGATGGGCACTGATAGGTGGCACTGATGGGCACTGATGAGGAGGCCCTGGTAGGTGGCACTTATAGTCATTGACAGGCATCACTGATGGGCACTGAAAGGCAGCACTCATATATGGCACTGATAGATGGCACTAATAGGCGACACTGACTGGCACTGATAGGCAGCACTGACTGGCACTGTTAGGTGGCACTGACTGACACTGATAGGTGGCACTGACTGGCACTGATGCACACTGATAGGCGACACTGACTGGCACTGATAGGCGGCACTGACTGACACTGATAGGTGGCACTGACTGGCAGCACTGATAGGTGGCACTGATTGGCATTGATAGGTGGCACTGACTGGCACTGATGGGTGACACTGAAAGGCAGCTCAGATGGGCACTGATATGTGGCATTGATGTGCACTGGTAGGCACTGATATGTGGCATTGATGGGGCACTAATGGGCATTGATGAACACTGACAGCTGTCATTGATGGGCACTGACAGGTGGCACTGCTGGGGCTACACTGATCATCATGGCATACCGATCATCAGTGCCCTGATGATCAGTGTACATGTCCCCTCCGAGGAATGCCGATTATTGGCTCTCCTCACCTCTCCTCTGTCAGCGTGACAGCTCATGAGGAGAGAAATGCCAATAACCGGAATTTCCCTATTGACATGTGATCACCTGTGATTGGACACAGCTGATCACATGACCGAGCTGACATCTTCGGCTCTTTCCATTGATCAGTGATCCGCTGTGTCTGAGGGACACAGCGCACTGCCGATCGCCGTGCTGCACGCTCCCGGAGCCGCGCATGCACGGTGAGAATAGGAGGACGTCATATGACGTCCTCCCAGAACGAGAGAACCACCTTGCGCCCGTCATTTCCTTATATGATGGGTGGGAGGCGGTTAAATGATAGAGACAGAAAATCAACCAAATATCCAGAGAAAACACACAAGATACAAATGTTATAAATGGAGTTGCAGTTCGGTGAGTAAAATAAGTATTTGATCCCCAAGCAAAACATGACTTGGAACTTGGTGGAGAAACCCTTGTTGGTTTGGTTGAGGTAAGACGTTTCTTGTAGTTGGTTCCCAGGTTTGCAGACATCTCAGGAGGGATTTTGGTCCACTCCTCTTTACAGATCTTCTCTAAATCCTTAAGGTTTCTTGGCCGTCACTTGGCAACTCAAAGTTTCAGCTCCCGTAAATTTTCTTTAGGATTAAGGTCTGAAGACTGGCTGGGCCCTCCATAACCTCAATGTGCTTCTTCTTGAGCCACTCCTTTGTTGCCTTGGTGGTATGTTATGGGTCATTGTCATGCTGGAAGACCCATCCACGACCCATCTTCAGGCTGAGGGAAGAAGGTTGTCATCCAAGATTTTACAATACATTGTCCCGTCTATTGGCCCCTCAATGCGGCAAGGTCGGCCTGTACCTTTAACAGAGAATCAGCCCCAAAGCATAATGTTTCCACCTCCGTGCTTGACTGTAGGGTTGGTGTTCTCAGGGTCACAGCCGAGTTAATGCCAAAGAGCTCAATTTTGGTCTCACAGCACGCACTTTCTCCCAATCCTTTAGATGTTCATTGGCAAACTTCAGATGGGCCTGAACATGTGTCTTCTTGAGGAGGGGGACCTTGTGGGCTCTGCAGGATTTCAATCCATGGCAGCGTATTGTGTTACCAATAGTTTGTTTGGTGACTGGTCCTAACTGCCTTGAGATCATTCACAAGCTCCTCCCGTGTATTTCTGGGATGATCCCTCACTTTTCTCATGATCATCCTTACCCCATGAGGAGACATCATACATGGAGCTCCAGACTGAGGGTGATTGATGGTTATTTTGTTTTTCTTCCATTTACGACTAATCGCTCCAACAGTTGTCTCCTTCTCACCAAGCTTCTTGCTGATGGTCTTGTGACCCATTCCAGCCTTGTGCAGGTCTACAATCTTGTCCCTGACAGCTTTTGACAGCTCTTTGGTCTTGCCCATGGTGGTGAGGTTTGAATGGAAGAAAGAGATTCTGTGGACAGGTGTCTTTTATACACATAACGTGTTGTCGTTATGTGTATAGAATATAGGATAAAATATAGGATGAAGGTCTGGACTCCTGGCTAGGCCACTCCATGACCTCAATGTGCTTTTTTTTGAGCCACTCCTTTGTTGCCTTGGCGGTATGTTTTGGGTCATTGTCAAGCTGGAAGACCCATCCATGACCCATCTTCAGTGTTCTGCCTGAAGGAAGAAGGCTCATTGGCCCCTCAATGCGGCAAAGTCGGCCTGTACCTTTAGCAGAGAAACAGCCCCAAAGCATAATGTTTCCACCTCCGTGCTTGGCTGTAAGGGTTGGTGTTCTTAGGGTCACATTTTTCTTCCTCCAGACACGGAGAGCCGAGTTAATGCCAAAGAGCTCAATTTCGGTCTCATCTGAACACAGAACTTTCTCCCATTTTTCTCTGAATCATTTAGATATTCATTGACAAACTTCAGACGGGCCTGAACATGTGCCTTCTTGAGGAGGGGGACCTTGCTGGTGCTGCAGGATTTCAGTCATGGCGGCGTCTTGTGTTACCAATGGTTTGTTTGGTGACTGTGGTCCCAACTGCCTTGAGATCATTCACAAGCTCCTCCCATGTAGTTCTGGGCTGATCCCTCACTTTTCTCATGATCATCCTTACCCCACCATGAGGAGACATCTTACATGGCGCTCCAGACCGAGGGCGATTGACGGTTATTTTGTATTTCTTCTCTATGCAGATAATTGCTCCAACATTTGTCTCCTTCTCACCAAGCTTCTTGCTGATGGTCTTGTGGCCCATTCCAGCCTTGTGCAGGTCTACAATCTTGTCCCTGATGTCCTTTGACAGCTCTTTCGTCTTGCCCATGGTGGTGAGGTTTGAATGGAGGAAAGAGATTCTGTGGACAGGTGTCTTTTATACACATAATGCGTTGTTGTTAGGGGCACCTTCTTACATAGACAGGACTGATCTGTGTACCACATGAGTGCATAGCCGGTCTGTGGGAGCCAGAATCATTGTTGGCTGGCAGGGGATCAAACACTTATTTAACTCACTGAACTGCAACTCCATTTATAACATTTGTATCTCGTGTTTTTTTCTGGATTTCTGGTTGATATTCTGTCTCTATCATTTAAAAATACATAGATGATAACAATGATAGACCCTTCATTTCTTTGTAGGTGGGCAAACCTACCTAAAGTCTGTGGGGGATCAAATAATTATTTTCCCCCATTGTATAGAACATTTTTTATTATATCTGTTCAAAAAGTGCAAAAAATACCTGTAGATCCTGCCAGAATTTTTGTGAGCTGATAACTTCCTGTGCCCTCTGCCTGTGTTGTACCCTTTGCAATTACATTGTTCTGGTAAAGGAGGATAGCACAGGTGAGAGGTAAAGGAGGACAGCACAGGTGAGTGGTAAAGGAAGGCAGCACAGGTGAGCAGTAAAGGAGGACAGCACAGGTGAGCGGTAAAGGAGGAGAGCACAGGTGAGATGTACAGGAGGACAGTACAGGTGAGCGGTAAAGGAGGAGAGCACAGGTGAGATGTACAGGAGGACAGTACAGGTGAGCGGTAAAGGAGGACAGCACAGGTGAGATGTACAGGAGGACAGCACAGGTGAGAGGTACAGGAGGACAGCACAGGTGAGAGGTACAGGAGGACAGCACAGGTGAGTGGTAAAGGAGGACAGCACAGGTGAGATGTACAGGAGGACAGCACAGGTGAGTGGTAAAGGAAGGCAGCACAGGTGAGCTGTAAAGGAGGACAGCACAGGTGAGAGGTACAGGAGGACAGCACAGGTGAGAGGTACAGGAGGACAGCACAGGTGAGCTGTACAGGAGGACAGCACAGGTGAGTGGTAAAGGAGTGCAGCACAGGTGAGCTGTACAGGGGGGCAGCACAGGTGAGCGGTACAGGAGGACAACACAGGTGAGTGGTACAGAAGGATAGCACAGGTGAGCAGGACAGCACAGTTGTGGGGTATAGCAGGACCACACAGGTGAGCTGCACAGGAGGACAGCACAGGTGAGTGGTACAGCAGGACAGCACATTTGTTAGGTATAGCAGGACAGCACAGGTAAGCTGCACAGGAGGACAGCACACGTGAGTGGTACAGCAGGACAGCACAATTGTGAGGTATAGCAGGACCACACAGGTGAGTGGCACAGGAGGACAGCACAGGTGAGCTGTACAGAAGGAGAGCACAGGTGAGTAGTACAGGAGTGCACAGGTGAGTCATACAGGAGCACAGGTGAGAAGTATAGGAGGGCAGTACAGGTGAGTGGAACAAAAGGGCACCACAGGTGCGCAGTACAAGAGGACAGCACTGATGAGTGGTATAAGGGTACAGCACAGGTGAACGGTACAGGGGAGCAGAACAAGTGAGAGGTACTGCAAGACAGTACAGGTGAGTGGTACAATGAGCAGGACAGGTGAGCTGTACAGGAGGACAGCACAGGTGAGAGGTACAGGAGGACAGCACAGGTGAGTGGTACAATGAGCAGCACAAGTGAGCTGAGGAGGACAGCACAGGTGAGGGTACAACAGGACAACATAGGTGAGTGGTAAAGGAGACAAAGGAAGAGCACAGGTGAGCAGTACAGGAGGACAGCACAGGTGAGAAGTAAAGGAGGACAGCACATACAGCACAAGTGAGCAGTACAGGAGGACAGCACAGGTGAGAAGTACCGGAGGACAGCACAGATGAGAAGTACAGGAGGACAGCACAGGTGAGAAGTACCAGAGGACAGCACAGGTGAGAAGTACAGGAGGACAGCACAGGTGAGAAGTACCGGAGGACAGCACAGGTGAGAAGTACAGGAGGACAGCACAGGTGAGAAGTACAGGAGGACAGCACAGGTGAGAAGTACCGGAGGACAGCACAGGTGAGAAGTACAGGAGGACAGCACAGGTGAGAAGTACCGGAGGACAGCACAGGTGAGAAGTACTGGAGGACAGTACAGGTGAGAAGTACAGGAGGACAGCACAGGTGAGAAGTACCGGAGGACAGCACAGGTGAGAAGTACTGGAGGACAGTACAGGTGAGAAGTACAGGAGGACAGCACAGGTGAGAAGTACAGGAGGACAGCACAGGTGAGAAGTACAGGAGGACAGTACAGGTGGGTGGAATATCAGTGCAGCACGGATGGAGTGTTCTCCATCTAGACGCTGAAGATTAGATTAGAGACACAACGTATTTCATAGATACCTCTTCGGTCTTGTCTGCGTTTCTCCGATTTCCTGGCACTCTGCCAACCTGCAAAAACAAACAACATCTCAGCATCGCTGTGCAGATATGAGAAATCCACCAACAGAAGGGGGTAAACAAAATGATTCAGCCAAACATATCGATGTCTATGATGGAAAAAAAAATCCAGAGGGAATCCCTAAAATAAACAAATCATTTCCTCCCAGTCTGGGAAAATGTCCTTTCCCTATCCTGCTCAATCCCTCAGTCACTCAGCGAACCTCAGCCTGGGGCAAATCTGCTGAACCAGAATTTCATATAAATATTCTCCGAGTTTTAATTTCGCTAAAAATGTTATAAATCAGAGTAACATTTTGTTCCAGCCCCTGGAAATCCAATATCAGTACTTTCTGTGCCCGAGAAGATCAGGTATAGCCTCGAAAAAAGTTACAGCCCATATGGAAGAAAAATATATTTGCAATATATTTTAAAAATATTCTTCCCAAACATATTGACATATATTTGAAAATGCTACAATTTTGGACGTATTCAATATTTTTCAAAATATATTTCAATAAATAATATATATATTTATATATATATATGTATATATATATATTTATACTGTGTATATATATATATATATATATATATATATATATAAATATATATATATTTATATTGAAATATATTGTTTAAATATAACATATTTATACTGTGTGTATATATATATATATATATATATATATATATCTGTGTGTGTGTATATATATATTTATATATTATATGTATATATAATATATATATTATATATATAAATATATATACATTACTGCATGTTAAAAATATTCTTCCCAAAAATATTTGAAAAAAAACAATTTTGGCCCTTTTTCGATTTTTATTACAAAATATATGAAATATATTTTTTAAAAATGCATTTCAAACGTACTGTATGTCTTTAAAAATACAAATCTATATTTTTTTTGGAATGCATTTTACGAATATATGTAAAAATATATTATCTGAAGAATATATTTAAGAAAATATATATTTTTAATAATATTAAAAAAAAATATATCCTTCGTAATTTTTTTTTAACATATAAAAAAAATCATTTTAATCATATATTTTTACATACATTTGTAGATGCTTCCAAAAATGTAGATTTGTATTTTTTAAAGACATACAGTATATTTTGAAATGCATTTTTAAAAATATATTTCATATATTTTGTAATAAAAACGCATTTCAACATGCAAATATATATATATATTGAATATGGCCAAAATTGTAGTGTTTCAAATATATGGCAATATATTTTGGAAGAATAAATAAAAAAATATAAAAAAAAACATATATTTTTCTTCCATGTGGGTATTCTCTGAAATTTAAAATTTTGCTAAAAAATGATAAATCAGAGTAACATTTTTTTATAGCCCCTGGGCATTCCAATCCCAGTATTTTCTGTGCCGGAGAAGATCAGGTATAGCCTCGAAAAAATTACATGCATCAAAAATAAATTTAGCAAGCATGTACCACAGAGGCAAATTAAAATTTCCAAGAATAAAAAAAAAAAAGTGGTAGGACTGCAGCAGGGGCGGACTGACCATTTGGAAACTCGGGCACTGCCCGAGGGCCCGTGGTCAGTAGGGGGCCCCATGAGATGCCCCTGGTACCTTTTTCATAGGCTTTTTTGAGTTTGGGCAAGGACACAGGGGCCCTATGATCCCCTATTGCCAAAAACCCATGAGTTGTCAGTCCGCCCCTGGACTGCAGTACGTTGGGGTGCCTTGACGTGGCCATGCAGCTTACACATACAGCATGTTTGCAATGTTAGGCGAGGTCAGTTTGGTTTTTTTTGCAAAAAAAATGGCTGGTTAGTGAGCTGGGAATTTTTTTGTTTTTGACACGCCCCTTCCATGCGCTCCTTGCTGCAAAGGCTGGTTAAGGTCGGGCTGGTTGCCATTTGATTGTCCATCCATACTACAGCATTGGGTGAAATGTGCAATAAACCACAATGGCACCCCAATACACCACAATGGCACCCAATACACCTTGCTGGCAGATGCAAAATGCAGTGCTGTTTGCTGCCAGAAAACATGCATCTTTTTTTTTTGTTGCCCCTACTGTTGCATGCATCCCATTCAAATGAATGGACTGCCCTAGTGCATCGACGCCTCGCAAGAGTTTGACTAGGCACAAAGGCTTCTTTCACTGCCTGCAGTATCTCGCACATTTCCATTATTATGCATTCTAATATGCATCCTATTTATATTTATTTAATATTTTTTATTTTATTTAGGTATATTTATTTAATAATCATTTAATATGCATACAAAATTTTTTTATTTAAAATGCATTTTAATACGTACAATATTTATATGTATTGAATATGCATTTTAATGTGTATAAAATATATTTATTTAATATGCATTTTTTTTTTTATAATATAATATATTTATTTAATAATCATTTATTATGCATACAATTTGTTTTATTTAATATGCATTTTAATATGTATAATATTTATATGTATTTAATATACATTTTTTTTAATATACAATTTAATGTGTTAAAAATATATATTTTTAATATGCATTCCTATTTATATTTATTTAATATGCATTTTTTTTTAAATAATATCTTTATATTTTTTTTTTATTTAATAATCATTTAATATGTATACAATTTGTTTTTTTTAAACATATGCATTTTAATATGTATAATATTTATATGTATTTAATATGCATTTTAATGTGTATAAAAATATTTTTATTTAATATGCATTTTTTTTTTTTTAATGATTATATTTTTTTTTAATAATTATTTAATATGCATACAATTTGTTTTATTTAATATGCATTTTAATATGTATTTATTTATATGTATTTAATATTGCATTTTTTGTGTATAAAAATATATTTTTTTAATATACATTTTAATATGCATCCTATTTATATTTATTTAATATTTTTTTTTAGGTATAATATTTATATTTATTTAATAATCATTTAATATGCATATAAATTGTTTTATTTAATATGAATTTTAATATGTATAATATTTATATGTATTGAAAAATTTTTTAATATGCATACTATTTAATTTAAAAAATATGAATTTTTTTTTTATAATATTTATATTTATTTAATAATCATTTAATATGCTTACCATTTGTTTTATTTAATATGCATTTTAATATGTATAATATTCATATGTATTTCATATGCATTTTAATGTTATAAAAATATATTTTTTTATATGCATTTTAATAATGCATGCTTTTAATTTATTTAATATGCATTTTATTTAGGTATAATATTTTTATATTTATTTCATAATTATTAAATATTGCATACAATTTGTTTTATTTAATATGCATTTTAATATGTATAATATTTATATGTATTTAATTATGCATTTTAATGTGTATAAAAATATAATTTCTTTAAATATGCATTTAATGCATATAACATATAATTATTTTTAATTTTAATATATGCATAAAAAATATATTTTTTTAATATGCAATTTAAATGTGCATACTGGTACTATTTATATTTAATAATATGCATTTTTTTTAATAATATTATTATTTATTAATATTTATTTCTATTTTATTAAGGTACTTATAAATAATTACATCTATATAATTTTACATTCACATCAGTCCCCGCCCCAAAGGAGCGTAAAAATCTAATTCCCTAACTTAATTCATAAAATACACAATAAAAAAAAAAACACTTGGGAAATTACCTATCAGCATGTCTTTTTGTGGAAAATACGGAGTACCCAAGGAAACCAAAAACAAAAACAGGGAAAAAATAAAAACTCCAGGCAGGTGGTAACCATGGTAAAATTTTATACACAACCTAGTATGTATTTAAATGTGTATAATAATTAAATGTAATATGCATTTAAATATGTACAATATTTATATTTATTTAAAATGCATTTTAAAAAAATACTAAAATATTTATTTAATATGCATTTTTTATGCATAAAATAATAAATATTTAATAATTTAATATTTATTTAATTATATTTAATATGCATATTATTATTGAATTAATATTTTAATAATTTAATAAAAAATTTAAATATGTGTCACATTTATATTTATTTAATATGCATTTTAAAATGCATACTAATAATATGTATTTATTATACATTTTAAAAGATTTATAATGATTATACTTAATATGCAATTTTATATGTATAATATTTTATATTTAATATGCATTTAAATATGTGTCATATTTATATCTATTAAAATAAAATAACATGTATAATATATATATTTATTTAATAAATTTTAATGTGTAAAATAATTATAAATTAATAAATGCATTTAAATACATATAATATTTATTTAAAATGCATTTTATTATGCACACTATTAATAAAAATTTAATATTCATTTTAAATATATAAATAAAAAAAATTTAATATTGCATTTTAATATGTATAATATTTATATTTATTTAATATGCAATTTAAATATGTGTCATATTTATATTTATTATACATTTTAACATGTAAATATAATATATTTTATTTGATATGCAATTTAATATGTATAATATTTATATTTAAATTATGCATTTAAATATGTGTCATATTTATATTTATTATGCATAAATAACATGATAATATATATATTATTTAATAGGCATTTAAAAATGTATAAATATTAATAAATATGCATTTTAATATGAATTACTATAATTATGTATTTAATATGCATTTTTAATATTTAGAATAATGATATTATATATTTGTATAATTCACCCGCTTTGGCGCGACGCTCAGTCCTCGCTCCCGCAGGTTGCCCAGAGCGATCTCCTGCAGACGGAACCTCTCCAGCTCAGACAGACTTTGCAGATGGACAGCCGGCAGGCACATGGCTGACTGCAACCTCCTGAACAGAGGGGGAAAAAAGAGAGAAAATCCAAGAGAAGTCATCGATCTGCGCAGATCACACTTCCAGTCTTTCCTTGAAGTCACAAAATCGATCGATCTGCCTCACCTTCTCTGCTCAGCGTCCTCCATGGCGATCCTCGCCTGGTCTGCGCCGACTGCAGGTTGTGTGCAGGAAATGTCCCAGGCACAGGGGATTACAGTGACACACAAAAGAGGAGAGAGTCAGGGGAGGAGAAGGGAAGGGGGGGGGGGGGGGAAGAGTCTGGTCCTACAAGTGAAAACATTTTGTCATTCAAAAGGATTCGGATTCTAATAGTCTAAAAAAAGAAAAAAAAAACAACAAAAAAAAAAAGAAAAAAACACTAAAGAAAAGAAAAACATAAAAAAAGAAAAAAAAACAAAAAAAGAAAAAAAACTAAAAAAAAGAAAAAACACTAAAAAATAAAAAAACATTACAAAAAGAAAAAAAAAACACTAAAAAAGAAACAAAAAACACTAAAAAAAACACAAAAAAACTAAACACTAAAAAAAAAGAAAAAAACACAAAAAAAACTAAAAAAAACACAAAAAGAGAAAAAAAAATAAAAAAACACTAAAACAAAAACACAAAAAAAACCCAAAAATCATAAAAAAAGAAAAAAAAACACTAAAAAAAGAAAAAAAAAAGAAAAAAAATAAAAACACTAAAAAAAATAAAAACACTAAAAAGAACACTAAAAAAAGAAACAAAAAAACACTAAAAAAAAACTAAAAAAAAAAAAAAACCAAAAACACTAAAAAAAGAAAAACACAAAAAAAAAAAAAACACAAAAAAAGAAAACACTAAAAAAAGAAAAAACCTAAAAAAAGAAAAAAAATAGCAATGTAAACAATTTCAGTGCATTTTTGTTTTTAATTAAATGTTTATTTTTCACAAATTGTTTGCTGGAAATTACCTCAACCCCCCCCCCCCCCCAAAAAAAATGATATATTTTCTATATATCACCGTCCTCCATGGCGATCCTCGCCTGGTCTGCGCCGACTGCAGGTTGTTGTGGTGCAGGAAATGTCCCAGGCACAGGGTATTAGAGTGATACACAAAAGAGGAGAGTCAGGGGAGGAGAAGGGAAGGGGGGGGGGGGGAGAAAGAGTCTGTCCTACAAGTGAAAACATTTTCTCATTCAAAGGATTCGGATTCTAATAGTCTAAAAAAAGAAAAAAAACACTTAAAAAAAGAAAAGAAAAACACAAAAAAACACTAAAAAAAAAAAAAAAAATAAAATAAAAAAAATAACAAAAAACACTAAAAAAAAGAAAAAAACACAAAAAGAAAAGAAAAAAAAACTAAAAAAAGAAAAAAACACTAAAAAAATAAAAAAACATTAAAAAAAAAGAAAAAAACACTAAAAAAAAACAAAAACACTAAAAAAAAAAATAAAACTAAAAAAAGAAAAGAAAAACACAAAAAAGCACTAAAAAAAAAAAAAACACTAAAAAAAAAAAAACACTAAAAAAAAGAAAAACACAAAAAAAAGAAAAAAGCACAAAAAAACGGTAATGCAAAAACACTAAAAAATGTGTGAAAAACTCTGAAAAGCACAGCAAAATGCTGTAAAATGTGCTAAAATACGCGGAAAGCCAAAAAAAAATTGGGGGAGGGTAAAAAAACGCTAAAAAAAAATCAAAAGCAAAAAAAAGTAATGTAAAAACGCTAAAAAAAAACATGGAAAAACTCCGTTTTTTAACGTGCGGCAAACCGGCATTTTTGAACTTTTTTTGACCCCAAAAAATTTTTTTCTAGTAAAAAAAAAAACACTAAAAAATGCAAACAGAAAAAAACGCAGCAAAATGCTGCTAAATGCTAATGCAAAAACGGTAAAAAAACGCATAAAAACACGGTTTTTTAAC